CAACCTCACGGGGAGGGATTTTGTTGAGGCCCAGCACAGGTATTGTTGGGTTCGGGGTGGAAGCTAAGGAAACTCACTTCAGAGCTTAAAAATTAAAGCTTTATTTTTTGTGCACGCAAGGAGGTGGCTTCTGAATTGTATCCCCGAAGGGAGATTGTACAACATTTTTAAAGGATGGGAATACAAGGTGAGGGGGATCAGGATGGGCTGTTGCACTGATCAATCATATTTTGACACAAGCGGTTGAGCAAGGAAGTAAACATGCGTGACTGGGCCTTAGCCAGGTCACCTTGTTTCAGAACCCTTGACTCAGCATTTGTAGTCATGTCCCCTCGTGGGCTTTGGCCCAGAATTTAGAATGATAAGGGGAACAAAGAAGTGGGCAAGCCAGGCAACACATTTGTGACTTGTGTGCCTTTAGTTTAGATAACAGGGTAACAGCAACCTCCCTCTTTACATCCTTTACTGGGTAGCAGACAAACATGAAACACCTAAAGAAGCAGGACAGGAGTCTGGGCACATGAACTCAGTTTTGTCTGTGTCAGTAAGATGGAGGTCGTTCCTGAGGTGGCTGGACTCAGGCAACTGTCTCCTAACAGGGTGGGAAAGCCACCAGCCACTAGCAACTAAATTCAGTTCTTTAGTTTTTCTCTTTCCATTGGATTCCAGGGGTGGGGTTCAAAGTTCCAATCTTCATCACATGGTTAGTTCCCAGCCCCAATTCTGAAGCTATCTAGGGGCCCACCAAGAGGCATCTCATTAGCATGACTGGAGTACACTTAAGAGGGGTTATGAATAGCAAAAGCATTCCTCTCAACCGACTACTAAGGGAATTCCAAGGCTTTTAGTACCCATGGGCCAGGAACTGGAGGCACTCATTCCTAATCTGGGGCTGAGGTGTAGTTTAGTGGTAGACTTCTTGGCTAGCGTGGAAAAGGCCCTAGGTTCCAGCCCTAACATCACACACACATAAAAAGTGAAATTGATGGTTTTTAAACTATCAGACATGTGCCTGGCGTGGTGGCACACACCGTTAATTCCAGCACTCAGGGATAGGTGGTGGTGGTGGGCAGAGGCAGAAAATCTCAGAGATCTAGGCTAGTTAGAGATACACAGTGAGACCCTGCCTCAGAAACAGAGCAAACATGTATTTCTCATTGTATCACTAAGTCATGAGAAGAAAGAAAGGCTGAGGTATCCCTTTCCCACCTCTTGCTCTCCTTTCCTTTCTTCTCTCCCCCAGTCCCTCCAGCAGCTGGCACTGTCATATCTCTGCTTTCTTTAGAAGACCCTTCTAACTGTGTCTGCGACCAGAGGCAATGAGTGCCTGGGGCTCTGATTACACCACCTTTCCCAGTTCTCCCAGTTCTGGGGCTGGTGCTGGTGCTGGTGGTGGCCCCGCTGGGGGTGGAGGGCAGCTTCACTGGCAGATGTATTTAGGAAGCAGGTCACATGCTCACGGAAGGAAACTGGAAGAGAACATCATAAAGGCCCTGTTTCACAGGTGTGTCTAGGGTTATGAAAGGCTCACAGAAAATGCTGAAGTACAATAGGAGCACAGGGAAGAGTAGGGAGCCTTTAGTATTCTTAGGGCCAAAGATGAGCTAAGTGACAAAGGGCCTAATGTTTAATGGAGAAGAGATATTGGATGAAGATAGAATCATGGTCTGCGCAAAGACACAACCACCTCCAGATGGCCTCAGAGAACCTGCGGCAGTAAACGCACAGACCTCTGTCTCCTGCTCTCCCAAATGGAAGTGACTTCCAATGCTAGCCAGGAACCCCCCATTTTGTAAAGCTCCCCCATTTTAAACTACAGCAATTTCAGTAATGACAGTAATTTGGTTTCTCTAGAGTCTTGCCTTACCCATCCTAAAATCCCTAGTAGTAACTAGCAAGGAAAAATATATATGGGTAACCTAACATTCTTTGAACACTCACTGGTTACCCCCAGTTGTTAGGGTCTGGAATTCACTGAAGGAAAAACCCAGACCCAAATAGTATGTAAAAACAAAAACCATTTATTCTGCAGAGAATTCCAGCACGCTGGGGTCACTACCTTCACAAAATGGCTGTGACGCCAAAGGGGAGCTTGAAGGTCCCTTTTAAAACCAGAAAGAGGAATTCCTACTGTGGCTACGTGCCCTCTATTGGGATTGGCTGATGCCCATGGAGGCTATGTGGCTCTGAATGGGATTGGTTGGCTCTTTGAAACTAAGTCCTCCCATTCCCCTCTTGAATAGGATGCCAGTCTCAAATCCTTGAGCTGGGTCCAAGGTATTGAGACTTTAACACCATGAGTCGGACCATGGAGACCTGATTTTTAGAAATTGTTTTCTAATGCTAGGCATAATAATGCAAGAGGCACAAAGCATGACCAGGAGAAACAGACTAAGGGACTATTTATGCTATGTCAATAGGTAGCCATTTGTTCCTTATGCCAGTGTTTCTTTTGACTTAACATTTCAGCCTGTTAGGTGGGATAGTGCATGACATATTTTCTTCTGTAACTTCTTCCAGCTGATGTTAGGACAATGTTATCAGTGCCCAGGAAGGCTGAAAGGCTAGTCAGTGGCTAGGTGATGAAGCATCTGATTAGTGATCCACTTGAAGAGCCAGTGTGCAATTACATCATCTGTTTTGGTTTACATCAGCTTTCAGCAAGTCCAGATCTCAGCAGCTCAAAGTACACAGGTGATCCCTGAATGGAGTCTGTCAGCCAGGTAAAAAAAAAATATGCTGAGACAAATATAGACTAGGAACAAAAATTAAAATTTGTCTAGCATTGGGGAAAGTAAGGAATCCCAAGACCAAGGGAAAAATCCCATTTCAAGATCAGGTTATCTGGAGTCTTTTTGAGCTCTGGCAGATCCAGGTCTATGATTTTTTATTTCCTGAAGCACATATGAATTTTAGTTTACAAAAGAAAATTAATTATATTAGTATCACCATTGTATTGAGATCCATATTTTAGAAAAAGCAGTTAACAGGTGTCTGTAAGACATCAGGAGTAGATTCATGCCATTGAGACATAGTAAAAAGCTATAGCTTTGGGTTAAAAAAACATAAAACAGTATTTTCTCAGCCTAGAGGGCTACATATACAGATTGAACACACATGTTTTTAGCATGATGAGAAGCACTTTTAAGTCTATATTTAGGAGACAACCAATGGGAGTCTAAAATCTTGAACTTGTGAATGAATAGTAAGTAGCCAGTGCTCCATCAGCTTGACATAACACATTGATCAATGTTAAAATTTTGAACTTCTGAAATCTTATAACAATGTAACAATAGCATAGAGGGGGAGAGAAATCTGAAATTTTTATATGCCTTAAATCACTTTCTTATAGCATTACAACTTGCATTTACATACCTTAAAACACCTTCTTAGACCCTCAAACACTTTCTTAGAGGCTTTCCTTCGGAACTTTCATTTACCAACCTTGAAACATCTTCTTAGACCCTCAGACATTTTTTTTTATATTATCATAACTTAAAGTTTTATATCCTCAGACCTTACATAAACTTTACATCTTTCTATGCAGTTATTCACCATGAGATACAGGCAGTTAATACAACACCTGTGTGCAAGACAAACCTGTTTGCCTTTTTAAACAGGAGATCTAGACTTAGTAGTTTTAATTAGCTAATGAATCAACTAATAAACTAACAGTCTAATTGTCTGTTCTCTGTCTGTTAAGCAATGATTAGCTTAGCCATCAATGTGATCAAAGAGCTGAGAAGGATAATTTGTAACCTAAATGGATCTATTTATTAATCAAAATAGCAGAAATGGCTAGTCAGCCCACCACCTAGACAGCAGTCCCCAGCTCCTGTGGTTTTAAGGCATTGTGGGCAGAGGCAGTCTGGCCATTAGGCACAGAAGACAAGAGGCTATTTCTGCGGAAGAAGAACATGAAAGAGTGAACTCACCTTGTTTTCAACAATGTGAGACAATAACTCTCCAGGTGTCCAGTTTTGTCTACAGTTCAGGCTGGGCCTTAGCCTGAGAAAAGGGGCACCCAAAAGAGGTATAGATTTAAGTCCTGTGTTAAAAGAGATAAACAGATTAAGAAATAGAATAAAGATCAGGGATCCAAGGCACATGCCTGTAATCCCAGCACTCTGGGAGGCAGAGGCAGGCAAACTCACTCTGTGAGTTTGAGGCCTGTCTGGTCTAAAAAGTGAGTTCAGGACAGCCAAGGCTACACAGAAAAACTCTATCTCAAAAAAAAAAAAAAAAAAAGCCAGGGATATCTAGAAAAACCCTGTCTTGAAAAACCAAACCAAATAAACAAATGAAAACAAAGAACTGGAATAAAGGGAGTGGTGACCTCAGGGGAAAACCTCAGCCAGCTAAGCTTCCCTCTTGTGAAAAGGAATTGAAGAATAGTTTAGGTCCAGGTATGATGGTACTTAACCTTTAATGCCAGCACTCAGGAGACAGAGGCATGCAGATCTCTGAGTTTAAGGTCAACCTGGTCTACAGAGCAAGTTCCAGGACAGCCAAGCTTAGGCAGTGAAGGAAACCATTGAAAACAGAAAGTTGGTCAAGATGTAATTGAAAAAGGTGGCCATGTTCCAGCCTAAGAAAACAGCAGAACTTGGCAGCTTCGGCTGTGGATTTGCCCTCCGAGACTAAGCCAAGTTGCTGAGGCCAGTTGTGTGGCAGGGGTGTCCCTGCCTGGAGGCCCAGGGAAGCCATTATGTGAATCTGTGAAGGTGAAGCCTGGACTGCCTTGGAGACCCCAAGATGTTGGATATGCCAGAGCTGTGGGATACCAGACAAGGAAAGCTTTTGACAGGGAGTGGAGCCAGGCCAAGAGAAAGAACTATGTTGTAATCAACAAAGATGAAACAAGTTGGAATCTGAAGAGCGTTTTGACATCAGACCTGGAGTTGCAGAGTTTAGAGTTTGTCCATCTGATTTTGGTCTTGCTTTTATCCAGTGTTTCCTTACTCTGCTCCCTTTCCTCCATTTGGAACGGTAATGTATATCCCGTGCCACTGTATGTTAGAAGTATGTGATCGGCTTTTTTTGTTTTGATTTTATAGGGATTTACGGTTAACAGACTGCTTGAGGCTCCAAAGAGGCTTTGAACTTTGGACTTTTAAACACATTGGGACTTTTACAGACTACAGGGACTTTTAAAGTTGGACTAAATGCAGTTTGCACTGTGGTACAGTTACAAGCCCACGGAGACCAGGGAGTGAAATGAGGTAACTAAGAAAGAGCTATACCCCATTTTAGTTGGGTTATTAGGTTTTCTTGATGTTTAGGTGTTTTTCTGTTGTTTTTGTTTTGTTTTTAGTTCTTTCTATATTTTAGATTTTAGCCCTCTATTGGATGTGTAGTTGTAAAAAAAAAAAAAAAAAATTCCCATTCTATAGGCTGCCACTCTGTCCCAATGACAGTGTCCTTTTGTTAGGTCCAGGAATCGATGTAAGGAGACCTCAGACTCAGGTAGTATGCAAAAGCAAGGAGCGTTTATTTGCAGAAATTGCCACCGTGCTGGGGCCACCATTCCACAGAATGGTAACCTTGAAGTGAGAATGCAGGCTCAATTTAAAGACAGTTACGGGACTTCCCTACTGTGATTAGGTAATCTTTTCATTGATTGCTTGGTGCTGATCTAGAGAATATGGGGGGACTTAGGATTGGTTCTGCAGTTGGGGGACTTTATGGAGAGTCTGGGTAACAAGGTGTGCCTGGGTAACAAAGAGTGCCCGGGTAACAAAGTATCATTTTGACTAGCTAGACAAAGCATTTCTAACTGGCCTTTAATTTGATTTGTCAAGTGCTTGGGGACTTGTATCTTGGACTGTAGTTTTGCTTTTTGAGAAATAGAAAGTCAGTCCTGTTCAGTCTGAAGCCAGTTTTGAAACTTGTCATGGAGTCAGACTGGCTTATTAAAAATTATTCCCCTCACTTTTGCTGTACAGAAGCTTTTAATTTTCAGGTTTTTTTTTTTTTTTGAGACAGGATTTCTCTGTGTAGCCCTGGCTGTCCTGGAACTCTCTCTGTAAACCAGGCTTGCCTCAAACTTAGAAAGCTACCTGCCTTTTGCCTCCTGGGATTATAGGCATGTGTCAGCATGCCCATTTGCTAGGGTCCCATTTATTAATTATTGATCATAGGACCTATGCTATTGATGTTTTGTCCAGAAAGGCTTTTTTTGTGCCAATGAGTTCAAAACTATTTTTCACTTTCTCTTCTATCAGATTCAGGGTAACCAGTCTTATGTTGAGGTCTTTGATCCATTTGGGGTTGAGTTTTCTGCAGTGTGATGTCTGTGGATCTATTTGCATTCTTCTGCATGCAGCCATCTAGTTTGACTAACATCATTTGTTGAAGATGCTGTCTTTTTTTTTCCAGTGTATATTTCTGATTTATTAAAAATCAGGTGTCTATAGGCATGTGAACTCATATCTGGGTCTTTAGTTCTATTTCATTGATCAATGTGTCTTGTCTGGTTTTGTGTTTTTTTTTTTTTTTTTTTTCCAATACCATTCTGTTTTTAATTACTGAATCTCTCTAATACAATATAAGATTAGAGGTCATCTTACTTAGGGTTTCTGTTGCTATGATGAAATAACATGAGGGGAGGAAGGGGTTATTTGACTTACACTTCTGAATCACTGTTCATCGTTGAAGGAAGTCGGGACAGGAACCTTCACACAGCAGGAACCTGGAGTCAGAGGCTGATGCAGAGGCCACGGAGGAGTGCTGCTTACTGGCTTGCTCCACATGGCTCAGTCACTGCTTTCTTATAGAATCCAGCACCACTGGCCAGGGGTGGCATCGACCACAAGGGTCTGAGCCTTCCTTCATCAATCAGTAATTAAGAAAATTTCCAGCAGATTGGCCTGCAACCTTATCTCATGGAGGTGTTTTCTCAATCGAGGTTTCCTCCTCTCAGATGACTATAGTTTGGGTTAAGTTGGCGTAAGTCTAGCCAGCACAGGGATGGTGATGCCCCCAGAAGTTTGCTGATTATTCAGGATCATTTTAGTCATCCTGAGTTTATTTTTTTTTCCATGTGAAGCTGAAAATTGCCCTTTTAAGTACTGTGAAAAATTATGTTGGAATTCTGACAGGGATTGCATTGAAATTGTAGATTGCTTTTGGTAGGATGGCCATTTTTATTATGTTAACCTTATCAATTCATGGACATTGGAGATCTTCCATCTTCTGATACCCTCTTCAACTTTTTTTGTCAATGTCTAAGTTTTTATTATACAAGTCTTTCACTTGTGTGGTTAGAGTTGTCCCAGGATTTTTGTTTGTTTGTTTGTTTGTTTGTTTTTTGAGACAGGGTTTTTCTGTGTACCCTTGGCTGTCCTAGATTTGCTGTGTAGACCAGCCTGGCTTCAAACTCACAGAGATCCGCGTGCCTCTTTCTTTCAAGTGCTGGGACTACAGGCATAATCCACTTCACCTTGACCCTCCCAATATTTTTTTTAAGGTTATTCTGTAAGGCATAGTTTCCATGATTTCTTTCTCAGTCCATTTGTCATTTATATATTCGAGGGCTACTGATTTTTGTGAGCTAATTTTGTACCCTGCTGCTTTGCTGAAAGCATGTATCAGCTGGAAGAGTTTCCTGGTAGAATTTTTCAGGTCATAGCTGTATACAATCATATCACCTGCAGATAAAAATACTTTGACTTCTCCTTTCCATTGTGTTCCCTTTTCTTCAGTTGTTTTATTGCTGTAGCTAAGACTTAAAGTACCATGTTGAATAGGTATAGAGAAAATGGACAACCTCTTCTTTTTTCTGATTTTAATGGGACTTTTTTGTTTTGTTCTTTTTTGAGGCAGTTGTCTTTGTAGCCTTGGCTGTCCTGAAACTTGCTCTGTAGACCAGGCTGGCCTCGAATTCACAGAGATTTGCCTGCCTCTGCCTCCGAAGTGCTGGGATTAAAAGTGTGCGCCACCACTGCCTGGCAATGGAAATGCTGGCTGTGGGCTTGGTGTAAAGTGCCCTTATTATGTTGAGGTGTGTCCCTTGTACTCCTAATATTTCTAGGACTTTTGTCATCAAGGGGTGTTGGATTTTGCCAAAGACCTTTTCTGCATCTAATGAGATGATCAATGTGGTTTTGTCTCTCATTCTGCTTATGTAGTTGATTACATTTATCAAACTACATATATTGAACCATCCATGTATTTTCAAGATGAAGCCTACTTGATCACAGTGGATGATCTTTTTGTTGTATTTTGTATTCTTGGATTTAGTTTGCAAGTATTTTATTGGGAAGGTTTTTTTTTTTTTTTTTTTTTTTTTTTAATTTATGTTCCTAAGGATAATTGGTCTGTAATTCCTTTCCTAGTTGGGTCTTTATGTGGTTTAGGTCAGGGTAACTGTGGCCTCGTAAAAAGAATTAGGCAAATGTCAATAGGTGGTGGTACAGACCTTTGATCCCAGCATTTGAGAGACAGAGGCATCCAAGTTCGAGGCCAGCCTGGTCTACAGAGTGACAGAGTAAGTTCCAGGACAGCCAAGGCTACACAGAGAAACCCTTTCTCAAAAAACAACAAAATAAAACAAAACAAAGAATTAGGCAGTTTTTTTTTTCCATTTTTATGTTGTTGACTAATTTGAGGAGTGTTGGTGTTAATTCTTCTTCAAAAGGCTGGTAGAATTCTGAGCTCAAACAATCTGGCTCTTGGGTTCCTATTGGTGAAAAGTTTTAACTACTGCTTCTAGTTCACATGAGATTATAGGGCTGCTTAAACTGCTCACCTAATCTTGATTCAACTCTGTTATATATACTTGGGTAATAGATATCAAAAAAATTGTTCACTTCTTTTTGATCTTCGAACTTGGTTGAGCACAAGTTTTTAATGTATGTCCTGTGAGTCTCTGTATTTCCTCAGTGTCTGTTGTTATAGCCTCCGTTTGGCCTCTAATTTTGTTAGCTTGGGTCTTCTCCACCTTTTAGTTGTTAGGTAAGGGTTTGTCAATATTGCTGATTTTTTTTTCAAAGAACCAATGTTTTGTTGATTCTTTGTATTGTTTTTTGTTTGTTTCTATTTTATTGATTTCAGCCCTGAGTTTACTTCTTGCCATCTACTCCCTTTGGGGTGTGATTTCTTCTGTTTTTGTTCTAGAGCTTCCAGGGGTGCTGTTAAGTTGGTAATATTCAGTCTCTAATTTTTTAATGTGGGCACTCAGTGCTATGAACTTGCATCTTAGTACTGCCTTCACTGTGTCTTGTAAGTTTGGATATGTTGTGTTTTCATTTTCTTTCTTTCTTCTTTTTTTGTTATTCACTTATTTATTTATTTAAGGTATATGAGTGCTCCATGTGCATGTACACCTACATGCCAGAAGGCATTAGAGGGCATAGATGGTTTTCAGCCACAACGTGGTTGCTGGGAATTGAACTCAGGACCTCTGGAAGAGCAGACAGTGCTCTTAACCACTGAGGCATCTCTCCAGCCTGTTCGTTTTTGAGACAGTTTTTCTGTCTAGCTCTGGCTGTCTTAGAACTCGCTCTGTAGATCAGGCTGGCCTTGATCTCAGAGATCCACCTGCCTCTGCCTCCATAGTGTTGGAATTAAAGGTGTGAGCCACCACTGCCTGGTGTGTTTTCATTTTCATTCGATTCTAAAAAATTTTTAATTTATGTCTTGAGCCATTTTTCATTCAGTGGTGAGTGAATTGTTCAGTTTCTATGAGTTGTAGGCTTCCTGTTGTTCCTGATATCCAGCTTTAATCTGTGGTGATCAGATAGGATTCAGGGTGTTATTTCAATTATTTTGTGTCTGTTTAGACTTGCTTTTGTTTCCTGAGTATGAGGTCAGTTTTGGAGAAAGTTCCATGTGGTGCTAAGAAGAAGGTATATTCTTTTGTGTTTGGATGAAATGTTCTGTAAATATGTTAGGTCCATTTTGTTTATGACGTCATTTAGTTCTGGCATTTCTCTGTTTAGTGTTTTTGTTTGAATGACCTATTGGTGAGAGTGGGTATTAAAGTCACTCAGGTTCACCATGTGAGAGCCTGTGAATTAAGCTGTAGTAGTGTTTCTTTTATGAACTTGGGTACCCTTGTGCATAGATATTTAGAACTGCAATAGACTCTTGGTGGATTTTTCTTTTGATGAGTATATAGTGTTCTTCCATTTCTCTTCTGATTAGTTTTGTTCTGAAGTCTATGACTACACTGGCTTTTTCTTGTGTCCATTCGCTTGTAATACTTTTTTTCTTTTCCTTT